TCACCAGGCAGCTAGGCATTTCCTAAATGATAAGTGCTCGATAGCATCATATGATCTCTGCTAGGTCTCTGCAACACCTGATGTGGCAAATACAACCCCAGGCTACGGGCTGATAGGAGACACCAAGTGGCAGCTGCCATGGAAGAAAATTCACAGGGTCAAAGCTAAGCACATCTTACTGTTCTCTTTGCTATTAAAGGTAATATAGCTCATCTGTGTGCTCACTTGCTTGTGGATGTTTTCTTTCCTCTGACTCCAGCAGGCATGTAGCAACACAGCAGGAAGCCCAGCATTAAGGAGAACTAAAGCCTCTCATTCATCTTTTCAGTTTCCTTGAGAAACCTAAGTTGTTCACCACTTTGTCAATTGAAAACACTAGTTCTCTGGGCTAGCCAACCCTAAAAACACTGACAATTCAGTATGAGAACAAACATAGGATGGGCCAACTCAACCACAGTCTCAAGCTGGAGGTCACTGGGACCTCCATAAGCTTGACCATGAACTCCAAGAGCAAGCGTTGGGTGCACTCATGACTCATTGACGTGTTGTCCTCATTCAGAGGAGAACACCCATCCCTTCTTCTCTAAACTTTTACATCAAGGAGCTGGAGTCAAATCTGTTGTGCAATGCAGTGTCAGGTAATGAAACTGAAAAACACAATAAAGCAAATACAGGACACCACAAAATGTGAGGCGTACCCCTCCCCTGTATGCACAGACAATCTAATCCATTAGTTGCATGGAAAGGAAATAAATTTTTCTTCCCCGATTTTCTTTTCTTCCCCCCGCCCCCTTTTTTTTCGGTGCAACACAGCTGCAGGCACTGAATGCACACAAAGTATCGGAAGCCTGGTTTTTCAGTTGCTTCGCAGAGCTACTTCCTTCCCAGATGGACAGCTCTCCCTCATTCATGTTTGTTTCTGCTGAAGCCAGGCAGCTCCCGCACACTGTGAGCGCATGTCGGGCAAGCTCCAATTACCTGCTTGCAGGCAAGGAGTCCTCCCTGGGAAACTGCAGCTTCAAGAGTTAACCTTGAAAGCCAAAAGACATTAGAGCCAAACTGAAAATGAGGATTTCAGAGGCCCTTGCTATTAGCACCAAGAGAAGTTGCCCATTTTCACCTATAAGAGATGCTCACAACCCCAGATTTTCTATCCTATTCCACGTGAAGGAATCGTGCTGAGACAGAATGAAGCTGGCCTGTGAAACAACAGCCATCCTGAGTGTGGACCTTGTTCTCATTTGAATACTGGGACCCAAGGCCACACCTTGCAGCCCTGAAGGGCTTTGCAAGTACGTACGACATTCAAACCAGGACTTGCAAAGATCTGACAGCTTTTTGGAGTAAAAAGGTAAATAGTTTTTCAGCCGTGCAGTCACCTCCCACCCTCCTGAAAGCCCATCTCTGAACAGAAGTGGAAAACAAAAGAGAATGGGAAGCATCTCCTAGAAAATGAATCCATGCAGCAAACACCCTGTTTGTAAGTGGTTAACAGACCACCACACACACACTCACAGGGCTGTACCTGGACTGCTTTTTTGGCGGTGGCGGTGGTGGTGGTGCAAACTCCACTCCATTATTTTTGTCTTTAGGGAAATCAAAGGAGAAAGACGATGATTTGCTGATCCCAGCCTGTCTCTCCAGCATTGGGCCATCACCCACAAGGTCAGCCCCAGCTCTTCCATTCTCAGCTCCCACTGCCCATGGGTGGGTTAGGAGCTCCTGCTCCTCCTCCTCCTGCTCTTCCTCTTCCTCTATCCGGCACTGCTTGGTCCACGTTGGGGTGTAGTATTTCTGCCTCCTGTCATAGGATGAGCCTGTCAGGCCTCTGCTGGACTCCTCCACGGAGACCCCATTGACATGAGTGCACAGAGAAGGAGACGCCCCAAAGGCGCCCGTATCAGTATAGCTCCTCGGCAGCAACTGAACACCAGCTCCATCATGGCTGTTGTCATCACCAAGCCTTGCCACATGGGAGCTTATTGGGGACACACGGTTCCCCTCACTGCCTGGCTGGCCGTTTCGGGACATCTTTGGGGGAATGGCTGGACTCTCAGTAACTGAGGTCTTGGCAGGAGCTGCCAGATGAAATCTTGAGCTGTTTTCACTTCCCGACGCTTGAAAAATCTCCCCGTGCTCAATGGCAGGTGATGAACTCCCAAAATCGGGGTGGGAAGTGGGGCTGATACATGGCCACTGAACTCCCACTGCCGAGTCAGGGCTGCTGAGGAATATTGTCTTGTGATCATCCTCAGTGTGTGCTGTCATTATAGTTATCTTGGCTGCCACCTGGCCAGTGGAGTCCTGGTACTCCTTCTCACCACCTAAAGCCCAGCTGCCATCCCTCCAAGTCCCATCAGCTTGCTCCTTGCCAGTGTTGTGGGCCAGCTTCTCTACTTTTGCGTGTCCTCCAATAGCCTTCAGCTGCACCTTCTTCCTCTTGGTGCTCTCAGCGTATATGGGATCACTGCGGGCTGGCTCAGCAAGGCAAGGATGCTGTGGCTCCACCAGAGCCTGCTGAGGGGTGCTCGAACCCTCAGGCTGGGGGCCTTCAGTGCCAGAGGTCTCTCCTGGTAGAGGCAAGTCCTTGTCCTCTGGGGACAAAGCGAAGGCAGCTGCCTTGCTGCTCCCTATGCTCTCAGGGAGGGCAGCAGGCTCAGGGTGGAAAGACGGCTTTTTCCTCTCTGAACACAGGGCGTAGGGGAGAGGATCACCCTGGTTTTTTGTGATGCAGAAGGCCACATTCACACCTCTGCGCTCCTCTTCACTGAACTTGACCGCCCTGCCACTTGGCCTGGGAATCTCGGGAGCATCCCGCTGCCTCCATCTGCATGGAGCAGAACTCTCCTTCTCACTCCAAGCGCCCTTCCCCTCCACGCAACACGGCTCCCACGAGACAGCGCGCTCTCCGTGGCAGTCTGTGATTGAGCAGTACTCACCCCCTTCGCTTTCAAAGCTGGAGGAGAGGTGACCACAGTTGCCCTCCAAGGGGAGTGCTGCTCCTTCTCTGGCTTGGGAAGAAGGGTTTCTGCTGGGGTTTGTGGTGTTTCTGTCCCTCAAGGCAGACAGATTAGGGCAGGGGGCACGATGTGGCAGGGCAAACTTGTCTTTGGCTCTATCCTCCTGCTTGCCCACCTCACCCACAAGCACCAGGCTGTGGATGGAGACATTTCTCTCCACATGACTTTCCAAGCTGCGCAGGCCCACCATGGAGTAGCTAGGAGGACAGCAAGACAAGCAGTCACTGGGCAGGTTGTGAAGGAAGGGCTTTCTCACACCTCCACTGCCAAAATTGTCAAGGCAGATCCTCTGTGCATCTCCTGATTTCAGAAGGAGTTGTTTGCCAGAAACCATGCCCCAGCTGACCTGCACGGGCCAAAGAGACAAGTGCACTGTCAGGATGTGCATATGCAAAATGGAAGAGAAATTAAATAATAATACTAATACCATTAATAATAAAAGCCCAGCTCTGCAGAAAAGTCCTCTGCCGTTCATCATCTGTTTTGCTCTGTGCTCACCAGTAACTACCGCCAACCTTTTCTGCTTAACCTACACTTGTCCTATTTCCTGGACCATTTGCAATCCCTGCATTACCATCAATGGCAATGCACTGAAATAAGGCATGCTCCTTTCTCTTTCTATGGGTTCGCTGCCAGAAACATGTCCAACCTGTCATCCTGTCTGTGAATCACCGTGCAATTAGGGAAAAACAGAGAGAAGGAATATTTGCACATCTCTCTGCTTATTTTCATTTCATTTCACACTGCTGCAGAACTCCAGAGCACAGACCCATACTACTACAGGATATGCTGGAATAGCAGCTTGGCTATGCTCAGCACCAAGGATTAGGAAGCAGGTGGGGAAATACATCCAAAATCTCTTCATTTCATAGAATCATAGAATAGTTTGGGTTGGAAGGGACCTTAAAGATCATCCAGTTCCAACCCCCTGCCATGGGCAGGGACACCTTCCACTAGACCAGGTTGCTCCAAGCCCCATCCAACCTGGCCTTGAACACTGCCAGGGACGGGGCAGCCACAGCTTCTCTGGGCAACCTGTGCCGGGGTCTCACCACCCTGATACTAAAGAATCTTCTTGGTATGTATAATCTAAATCTACCCTCTTTCAGCTTGAAGCCATTACCCCTTGGAACATTCCCTTGTACAAAGTCTCTCTCCAGACTTCTTGTAGCCGCCCCTTAAGGTATTGAAATTAATTATTATATGTATTAATTATTGAAATTAAGGCACTGAAAGGCCACCAAAAACAATTTAAGGGAGATCTATCCTGCTTGCAAAGGGAGGCGTTGGTAGAAGCGGAGTGCCTGATTTGTGCCTGTAAAACAATCCCCCCATACCAGGGTGGCAGAGCCCTCTCCCATAACACAACACTCAGCCTGGGGATATCTCTGCACACACAGACCAAACCCCACCAACGATGGCAGCCTGTGCTTGTGCGCCCTTTACCCCCAGAAGGACAGCAAGGGAGACCAGTGGGAGGCTAAAAAGAGAGCTGTGAGCTCTGACTCTCCTCTGGGGAAAGGGTATGAGACAGAGCACACCTACACCACGGGCAGGGTGATACAGACCATGCTTCACAGGCAGTGCTGATATCGACTGGCCACGGATATGAACCACCCATCTCGATTGCAACTCAAAGCACCGGGGCTGGCAGCAGTGCTACACCCAGAGGGCATTACTGCTCTGGCAGAGGTTGGGAGCCCAAGGAGCTGGGCTATGAAGGTAGGGCACTTCCTTCCTCACCCATGAGGACCATAGATCCAGTTAACACTGTCTGCAATCAGGCAGGGCTTCTTTCCAGTACATCTTCCCAGGAAAATAACTTTAACCCACATCCTCATTTAAAATACGGAAGTTCCTAAACAAACAACACATTTTTAAGCTCCTTTGCACATGCTTTGTGAGCAACAGCTCATTCAGCTTCAGCCAAAGGTACTTTGACAAGCCAATATATGTCTTAAAGACTTGAGTCAAGACCAGAATTAAAAACAAAGGGAAGGAAACGGTTTAAACAGATATTCCTAGCACTCCTGAGGGGAGGTAAGTAACGGGAAGTCATGTTTGACTGGATTAATCATTACCTGTGACAGATCTGCATTCATATTCACGTCCGCCCACGAGTCAGAAACATCCGAGTTTATCATAGTTGGCTTCACAGCAATTGTTGGCTTTGAGAAGGGAGAAGTATTTACACCTTCGTCTTCCAACACGGGGCTCTCAGGCTTGGTCCTAACTCCATTCGGGAGCACAGCACAAGCTCCCACGTCTGGGGGTGTTTGCAGCCGATGGGAACTCTTTGGGTTGAAGCAGTTTTTGCAGGAGCCGGGCTTCCAAACGTGTTCCACAAAGTCACTGCACGCAGACATCTTCAAATCCTCGTGGGTCAGACCGAGAGCCCTCTGCGTCTTCTACACTGTCCTCCACTGCTCATTTTGCATTTGCTCCCCAGAGCCGCTCTCAAGGATCACTTAGTTATCTGGAAAAGCACAACACTGTCCGATTAGTTTGGTTATGCCCTAAAATAGGAAGATTTTTAGTAAGACAGGTGATAATTACACTTACTCTGCCTTACACAAAAGCTTATTGTTTACAAGGCTTTTTTTTTTCGCAGCTTAGCTAAAGCCCACACAATCACTTAAAAAGCCTCAACTTCTAAGCACAGCTCTGTAATAGAGAAGACATCAAGCAAGCAGCATTCCTATGTGATTTAATTCCCTCTTTAATGAGCATGTATAACCAGCCTCGTGCAAGGTTTAGATCAAGGGTAAAGGAAAGAGGTCTTGGAAATAGCTGTTCACAGCCCCACAAAGCAGAGCCAGGCAGGAAGAATTCTTTTCTCCAAAGTGGCATCCTCCCTCTGGAAAATAAAAAGGCCTGGAGATACAAGGACCAGAATGAGCGACTGTGTAACCAAGGGGACCGGCAACAACCTTCCTTCACCCAGAAGCACCACTATGATTACTGCTGTGAGACACAAAGGCTTCTCTCCCACCCAGTGCAACGGAGAAAGGCAATCAGCAAGGCTGGGGCTGGCATTGATTTGAGCAAGTGCCTGGCAGAAAGCTCTTATCTGGTTTGCCAGGAGCCACAAATAACAGTGTCAGCTCCCTGAAACGATTCATTGTCTGCAAGAGGAGAAACGTTTTGCTCTTGGATTACTTACAGACAAGGATCCTTTCCCATCTTCCTTCCCCAGGAGGAAATGCCCCAGGAACAAGACATTCCTGCATTCCTGTGCCCCCCCCGCCCCCCGCATGGCCAGGTCTGATCGCACTCAGCCAGTAGCTACCTGGAGCTAACAACTTTGAAGATACTTCAGACGAGGACTCCCACAAAGCTCAGTGGATTATGGAAGATAAGAAAATGCAACTAGATGAGGAAAATCGCAGCTGCTGCTATAGGTGTCAGGGCACACAACTTCCCTGCCTCGCTCCAGAGCTCTTCCCCACCTAACCAACTTTAGGTCATCATCTCCCAGCCAGCTGACCTCCATGCAAACCGAGGCTCCTTCCCTGAGGATCTCCAAACAAACAGGCACTTTTACACCCCAATCCTGAGGGCACAAGAGCAAAATTTACCAGCCTGATCCTTCAGCACTTCCTCCATGCAGGTATAGTGCAACACCCCCATAGCCACAGACACCTTTGCACCTCTGAACCAGCCTGCACTTCAGTAAAGCCTCTTGCCTCTGGGCTCGGAGATGCCCTGGACAGCCTCTCTGACAGCCACCCTATTGCATGGCGAAAAGAAAGAATACTTGTAAGAGCCTGGGTGAGAGAGACACTGCCCCACAAGCATCATCTGAATTCAGATGCCACCTTTGGGAAGAGAGGCTTTGATCCACTAAAGCGTTAGTACCTGCAGAGTCGTTCTGTCTGGCAGGCTGATAAATTGGAATCCGTTTCATGAAAGAGCAGAAAAAAGAGGGATATCAATGGGATTCACAAATCATATTGGTGCATGCCTCTCTCTTTATAGAGAAAAGGCTGTTTCAGACAGGTTTTCCCATGGACTTCCAAGAGACCAAATGAACCAAAAGACAGAAAATCAGTCTTGGACATACCCCAACACCTTCAAAGAGATTATTTGCAGGGAAAACACCTTTTAAAAAAAAATACTCTATTCTTTGTTTCCTCTCAGGTCTAACAGGCAGTGTCCAGCATCCCCCAAAGCTGAACAAGTGTCCTGAGAAGAGCCAGCATAGAAAAAAGAAAAATCAAAGGGAGGAAAGCAGGAACCTGAGCCAGAAAAAACTCTTCACTTCTGGTTTAATAACCGGCGCTGCCAACTGCCTTTTAAAGACCGGGATTTCCCTTTCTGCAGCTAAG